ATAATAATAATAATAATAATAATAATAATAATAATAATAATAATAATGATGGAAATACTAATACTCTGATGGTCATTTCGAAAAATCCTTTCTTAGTGAGAACCTAGAAGCCAAGAAGGACATACGTGCCAAATTTCAAGTTTGTAGGCTTTATGGTTCTGGAGATTTTGTGATGATGCGTGAGGGGTATTTTGCTTTTATATAGATTTCCAACCTTGGTAGCTTTAAGATGAGTGGGCTTCAATTCCCAGAATCCCCCAGCCAGCCTGGAATAGGAATATAATTTCTTTGGTTTTGGTCTTGAATTTTCCTTTGTAAAGCAAAGTTATAAACACAAACAATTAACATTTTTTCATCCTCATGACCCTTTTTTCACCATTGACCAGATTGTCATTTATTATTTCCAAAAAATAGGACCACAGCATACTGAACTCATTTTAGAAATTGAATATTCCCAAGAGAAACAGAATTTAAACATCTCTTACCGCATGTTAAAGGGAGCCATTAGCCGGACCACATATTGCCTGTCCTTTGGAAGTTTAAGCTTAGGGATTTTAGATGGATCGAAATCTGGAGGATAGTATTTCTAGAACGCCCAAAAATAAAAAATATAATTGAATTTACTTTTTTCTTTTAATTTTATTTTATTCAAGATTAAAACACAAATTGCAAAAGAAAAAAAAATAAGTCAAAACAAAACTAGACAAAAAAGCTAAAAATGAATTAAAAAACAAAAACAAAAGACAAAAGCACACATTAGCCTCCCAATTTTCAATTGAAAGGAGACAAAAGACAAAAAAAGACAAAAATAACACCATTTATTAATATCTGTAGCCTTACTATCAATCTTAGATGGATGGAAATCTGGAGGATAGTATTTCTAGAACACCCCAAAATAAAAATACAATTGAAATAACTTTTTTTTCTTTCAATTTTATTTTATTCAAAAGATTAAAACAATCTTTTGAATAATTAAAACAATTAATTATTAAAATAATCAAAACAATCACACTCCAAAAGAAAAAAAAATCAAAGAATCAAAACAAAACTAGACGAAAAACATTTAAAAAGGGAATTAAAAATAATAAAAGACAAAAATACATAAAAATAATAAAAGACAAAAATACATATTAACCCCCAATTTTCAATTTTAAAAAATTGGAAAAAAAGAGACAACCCCTCCCAAACTGATCATTTATTAATATCAACAGCCTAGGTAGGCCCAAGATCCCAGTGGATCCCAGCAGATCCTTAAATAGTTGATGAATCCACTCCATTCTCCCTTGCATAGGTTGGCCTCTTTACAACAACCCTGCGAGGTAGACCGGCACCCCCATCCCAACCCCACCCTCCCAGGCCCCCAACCGCCCCCAGCCATGTTTTTTCGCCTCTTTCCTTTCACTCACGTTTAATACTTTCCTTTCCGACATTTTGGCCCTTCGCGGTTGTTCCCAGTCGCCCTAAAACTCTCTCCAAATACCGGCCACTTCCTGGATTCCCAACTCGTTCAGCCTCCTTCGCTACTATTGGCTATCGCACGTCGGAACGGAGCAGGAGGCGCATCCTATTGGTCTACTTGGCGGTCCGTCTACAGTAATCCCCGCCCTAAGCCGTCGCTCCGTTTTTACGTCTTTTAATCAGCGCCCAGCGTGCCTATTTATGTCGCGTCGTTTGTCCTTCCCTAAAATACTCCGTTGAGGAAACAAAGATCTGACATCTCTAGTTCCGGGGCTGGAGAATGATGGGTTAAGTTCAATAGACGTTATTAAAGGCCTTTCATAAAATATTATGCGCATTAAATATTCATTACCTCTGTTAAATATTTAATACTTCGAATTACTGAAGGCTCCTTTTTCATTAAAAAGCGAAATTGCTTTGGGGATAAGGTTTATTAGATGCTTGGTACTGTTTACAGAGAAGGATTAAATCCTAAAATAATTTTCGTTGCAACCTGTATAATAAATAATAATAATTATTGCTGCATGCTCAGAGCTTTCTTCCATCCTCCCAGGATGTTGTTGAGTTTATTTATGTTTTGTCTTTAAGATGTATATATTGCCTCTCCAAACCAGTTATCCCAAATGGCTTATGAAATCTTTTGTTATAACTTGAATTTTAAAATGCCAACTAAGAACAGAGACTAAATGTCAGCATACAGTAGAAATAGTGATGCATGACATCAGACAAATGAAGACCATTAAACCAATTCTTGTATTTATTTTTAAATTTATTAAATTTATATGCTGCCCATTTTGCTGTCCAAGGTGATTTGGTTACTAAATACCAACTACCAAGTTTCTTTGATGATTTTTTTACACATTTAAGGTATGATGGTCTCGAAATAGCCATCTCCAACCTTAACAGAAAAGAAAAAAAGCTTCCAAGCTGAAAAGTAGCAAAGCCGAAAATGACCTTGAAAATATACAGTTATTTTTCTCTGACTGGAGACAAAATGTGTTTATGATAATGTATTCCTGAACAAAATCCTAACAGGCATTATAGGGTTTTTTCCTTATCAGGAATGCTGTCAGAGTGTGTGCAGAGATCTCATTTATTTTCTTGAAAAGGAGAGTGTCCCTGAATTTTGCTTTAACTTTTTAACTTTAATCAGAGTTTTCCCTGAAATTATCAGATGCCCTGGATTTTTGCCTCACATAAAATGCCTAAGAGAAGAATTAGACTAAAAAACTAACAGGTTTTTATACTAATATTTATATTTAGCAACCTTCAATTCCAGATCCTTCTGGAGAAGGTTTTATCTTGGTGGCTCCCAAGAATCACCAGCAGCAACTCAACAGGACATAATCAACTCTTGAATAATCTACAGTATAATGATTAAAAAGATGACACGAAAGAGGAGATAAGGACAAACAACAGCATGGAAGATGGACTCAGTTACAATTGTGATGGGTACATTCTTAAGAAACCTGAAGATAAGAGGGAGATCATCATGGCGAAAATTTATCTCTATGTGGTATGTCTATGGAGAAACATAAAAATGGGTTTGGGTAAGATCCTTCTCAGCGTTTCCCAAGGTTGGGCTTCACTATTTTCTTTGTTCATGGAAGCTTGAAAAGAGCTAAAAACAAATTGGTCCGTTTCTGAAAAAGAGGCTTTTTCTTGAAGGTTAAGGTTTATGGGAAATTATTAGCAACTAGCTCTATACTCTTGCTTCGCTACAAAACTATGTGATCAGCCTTAGTTTTTGGGGAGGAAAATAAGGGGAAAAAATTGTGCTTCTGCCTATCATCATCCATTGGTATTTGTCTGGCTAGTGTCCTGTCAGTGTGTGAGAGAGTTGAGGGCTGTTTGGAAACTGAAGCAGTATTTGCTGTGTGAGCAAGGAGACAGCAAGGAGCGTGGGTGTGTCTTAGCTCAACTGTTCTGTACTAAAGCTGCTTGTTGCTGTGAAAGTAAAACTGAAACTGAAACTCCTCTGTGTTTTACATTTGGAACAGATTTCTTTTCAGGTGGGGAGGGGGAGTAGAACTCCTTAGCATCAGGGTGTGTTAATAATAAATACGAAATATTAATGCTCTGATGGTCATTTCAAAAAATCCTTTCTTAGTGAGCCCCTAAAAGCCAAGAGGAACATACGTACCAAATTTCAAGTTTCTCTATAAATACTGGTGATGGGGGCTGGTATGCTGGGCTGGTTGTCTGCGCTGCTACCTCTTGATTGGTTGATGGAGTTGATGTTGGTATAATGGACTGTGTGATGGCCTTGTGAGTTTTGTTGTGGAGATATCCTGGATCTTGTGCTGTAATCTCCTGGATCGTTTGTTTTTTTTCCATTAGCCTCTCGTGTTTTAATGGCTTGGGTAATGGGTTGTGTGATGGGCTTACGAGTTCTTTTGTTGTGGTATCCTGAGTCCTGTGTTGTAATCTCTGGGGTCGTTTGTGTTTTGATCTTTTTTCCATTAGCCTCCTATGTAGTAACGGCTTGGGTAATGGGTTGTGTGATGACCTTGTGAGATTTATTGCTGTGGTGTCCTTGGTCTTGTGCTGTGATATCCTGGGTCATTTGCTGTGTTGCAACTTCTTGAGTTCTTGTGGTGTAATTTCCTGAGTTTTCTGATGTGATGTCCTGAGCGGGTGGCTGTGATGTAGCATTCTGGGTTTTAGTCTGGCTTCGAGTTTGGGGCCTGTGTCTGTGTTCTTGGCGTGTGTCAGCTTGTTTGGTTTTCAGGTTGGGGGGTGCGACAGCTGGCAAAACAGCTGTGGTCTGTTTTCTGGATGGTGGTTGTCCTTCGTTTATAGGATGGGCTTGGGCCTGGGTCTAATGAGGGGGATTGGCGGTGGTGTCCCATGTTATTTTGGGTCTGGTGTTGGTTTTTGTGGCTGGGACTCGTTTGTTGGTGAGGGCTAGCTTCCAGATGTCTGGTAGGCAGGAGGTATCATCCCGTCTATTCATGTTATGGGGGTGTTTCTCTATCTCGATGGCTTCCTTGATTATTCTCTTGCTGGAGTGTTCAGTATTGGATATTAATTTGGTTCCTTCAAATATCCAACACTGAACACCTGTACCTATGAAAATCTACGAAAACAAATGTATACATATACATATACATATATGTTGTGGCTCCGATTCCCGAGCCTGTGCTGTTAGAGGAAGAGGACTCAGAAGATGAGGAGGAGGAACAGGGAATGCCTTCCTCCCCAGGACCTTCCTCTCTGGCAATGCCTTCCTCCCTGATAATACCTCAGGTTTCAGCAGACAACCGAGAGGAACAGCCTGAGATTAATCAGGAGGAGGAGGGCACATCGGAGCAGCCCCTGACAGGGAGTCAAGAGGAAGAATGTTGGCTTGATCCTAGGCAGCATCGTAGGGAGAAATGTGAGCTGCAACGTAGGAGGCGTGGGAGGGTCAGAGAGTGAGCTGAGTCATTGTGACACACCCCACAGGGGATAAAAGTGAGTGTGTTTTCTCCGGAAACTTTGTACGGGACAAAGTTTGCTTCTCTTCCAGGTTTCGTTGTGACTGTTTTTTGTGGTCTGCTTTGGAATCTTCAGTGAGTAGTTTTTTCTTGTTATCATTTCGGACTTGGCAGGCAGAGTGTGTTGGAATGCCAAGGACATTATCAGTATAAAGGATTAACTCTGTAAAGACCGAGTCATCTTGCCTGCCTGTGTTTGTGTGAGTTTGGACTCTTTCATGTTTTTTGGAAAAAAGAAAGGTGAGACATAACACATATATATGTTTTCTTAAGTTTTTGCGGGTACTTACATGTATGGTATTCAGCTTTGTTCGGGTATTTCCCCACGTCATTATAGCACAACTATAATGACGTGGGAAAATACCCAAACAAAGCTGAATACCATACATGTAAGTACCCGCAAAAACTTAATATATATGTGTCTAACTCACAGACGAACACAATACAGAAGCCTGATGATGGCAGATGAGATTCTGCCGAAACGTTGCTACAACTTTAAAAGCACAACTACAATGACGTGGGAAAATACCCGAACAAAGCTGAATACCATACATGTAAGTACCCGCGAAAACGTAAGAAAACAGATAGATAGATAGATAGATAGATAGATAGATAGATAGATAGATAGATATAGATATAGATATAGATATAGATATAGATATAGATATAGATATAGATATAGATATAATGGAAAAAGCCAATTTAAATACAAGAAAATACAAGAAAACCTATGTGTAATTAGCCAGTGCAGCAGTATTACAAATACCATGTTTCAAGTATTACAAAGTCCATCCTCTTTGGCCCTCACTCAGGCTCCCAGGACGCGCCAGAGGCCGGAAGACTCCAGGCGCTGTATTCCCCATTGTCCAGGAAGTCTTTTGCAGCTACTTGGATGTGGTAGGTTACGCCAGAACGGATCCCGGTGAGGTTAAAGGAAGTTCGCTCGATAGGCCTGGTCTGGGGAAACAAATAAAAATACAGGTTAGCCCTTGACTTAAAATCATTCGTTAGTTTAGTGATCGTTTGATGTTACAAAGGCACTGAAAAACGTGACTTATATGACTGGTTTTCACACCCTGGCAATTGGGATGTATTTATAGAAGGTCCTCGATTTACGACCACAATTGAGCCCAACAGTTCTGTTCTTCAGCGAGTAGTTGTTAAGTGACTTTACCTCCTTTCTTACAAACGATTGTTAAATGAACCACTGCAGTTGTTAAGTTAGTGACAAGGTTGTGGAACAGCCTGCCTTCGGACGTTGTGTTTCAAGAAGAGACTGGACAGCCATCTGTCAGAAATGGTATAGGGTTTCCTGCTTGGGCTGGACTAGATGACCTACAAGGTCCCTTCCAACACTGTTAATCTGTTTTTGTTTTTTTTAAATGTATCTGGCTTTCCCGTTGGCTTTGCTTGTCAAAAGGCTGCAAATGGGGATCATATACCAAACCATTGTAAATGCAGTGTCTGAATTTTGATCGTGTGACCGTGGGGCTGACGCAATGGTCGTAATGGTGAAAAACGGTCACTACATCACTTTTTTTCAGTGCTGTTTAAGTTCAAATGGTCACCATTCGAACTGTTGTACGTCAAGGACTGCCTGTATGACTCATGCAATACCCCGGGGTCATGTGATCGTCATGTGTGAGCTTCCCAGACAGCTTCTGATAAGCGAAATCAGTGGGGAAAACCAGATTCGCTTAATGGTTGCATGATTCACTTAACAACCATGGCAAAAAAGGTCATAGAATCAGGCGTGACTCGCTAAACTGCCTTGTTTAGCAACAGAAATCAGAGCCCCAATTCTACCCGTAAGTCAAGGACTACGTCTGGGGCAAAAAAGTAATAATAAAAAAAAGAGAAATTCAGATCAGAAGTTCAGGCTATGAATAGAATAGGATATAGGATATAGGATATGGAATGGAATGGAATGGAATAAAACAGAATGGAATGGAATGGAATGGAATAAAATAGAATAGAATTAGAATGGAATGGAATGGAATAGAATAGAAATATTGGAATGAAGAATAGGATAGGATAGGATATAGGATAGGATAGAAGAGAATAGAGTAGAATAGAAGAGAGTAGAAGAGAATGGAGTGGAGTGGAGTGGAGTGGAGTGGAGTGGAGTGGAGTGGAGTAGAGTAGAGTAGAGTAGAGTAGAGTAGAAGGGAATGGAATGGAATGGATTAGAGTAGAGAAGAGAAGAGTAGAGTAGAGTAGAAGGGAATGGAATGAAATGGATTAGAGTAGAGTAGAGTAGAGTAGAGTAGAGTAGAGTAGAGTAGAGTAGAGTAGAGTAGAGTAGAAGAGAATAGATTAGAATGGAATGGATTAGAATAGAGTAGAGTGGAGTAGAGTAGAAGAGAAGAGAAAAGAATAGATAAGAGTGGAATGGATTAGAATAGAGTAGAAGGGAAGGGAAGGGAAGGAAATAGAATAGAGGAGAGGAGAGGAGAAGAGAAGAGAATATAGAATAGATGGGATAAAGAATAGAATAGAATAGAATAGAATAGAATAGAATAGAATAGAATAGAATAGAATAGCAGAGTTAGAAGGGACCTTGGAGGTGTTCTAGTCCAACCCCGTGCTTAGGCAGGAAACTCTATTTCAGACATAAGGTAATCCAATTAACGTAACCATTACCTGGAGTGACTCCCATCTCCCGCACTCACCGTTCGGCTAAGCCTTGATCCATCTCTCGAATAACGGATGATATATTGCAGGGGAAAATATTCAGGATATAACCAGGAGCTGGGAGCCTCCCATCGTACAAGCAACATTTTTTTCTTCCCTTGGATCGGGGAGACCGTTACATTTTCTGGAGGGTCTGGCTGGACTAAGAAAAGGGAAGAAGAGAATTAAACCGACCCCAAATAGCCAATACAGGGTAGTCCTGGACTTACAACCGCTCGTTTAGTGACCGTTTGTTTGACGTTACAATGGCACTGAAAAGAAGCGATTTATGGGCGTTTTTCCACACAGCGTCCCCATGGTCACGTGATCAAAATTTGGACGCTTGGCGACGGATCCTATTTATGACGGTTGCAACGTCCCGGGGGTCACATCGTGATTCCCCTTTTGCGACCTTCTGACAAGCCAAATCCATGGGGAAGCCCAACTCACATCACAACCGTGTTGCTAACTTAACAGCCTAAGGGATTCACTTAACAACTGTGGCAAGGGAGGTCGCAAAATGGGGCAAAACTCACTGAGCAACCCTCTATTAAGCAATGGGAAATTTTGAGCTCAATTGCGGTCGTAAGTCAAGGACTACTTGTAATGGGGGGGAAAAAATAAAAGCGGGTCACATCAAGATATGAGAAATAACCTTATTGCAGCTACTAATCCATGTGCCATAAAAGTGTCAAACCTTCTCCTAAGAGAAGGACAAAGTGTTTCTATCTGTTTTACGTCGGTTGGCTTATTCGCAATCCATGACGTCTGATCCCCAAGGGCGATCAAGCAAATAATCAATCAATCAATCTATATATATATATATATATAAAAGCGAAAGACCCCTCACGCATCATCACAAAATCTCCAGAACCGTAAAGCCTACAAACTTGAAACTTAACAGGCATGTTCCTCTTGGCTTCTAGGTGCTCAGTAAGAAAGGATTTTTCAAAATGACCATTAGAGCATTAGTATTTCCTATATGATTATTATTATTAACAAGCTCTGATGCTAAGGAGTTCTACTCCCCCTCCCCACCTGAAAAGAAATCTGTTCCAAATGCAAAACACAAGCAGAGGAGAGGAGGTTCCGTTTCAGTTTCACAGCAACCATGCAGCTTTACTACAGAACAGTTGAGCTAAGCCACGCCCACGCTCCTTGCTCACACAAATACTGTTTCACTTTCCAAACAGCCCTCAACTCTTTCACACACTGACAGGACATTAGCCAGATGAATACCGATGGATGCTGGTAGGCAGAGGCAGAATTTTCTCCCCCTTATTTTCCTCCCCCAAAACTAATCCTGATCAGATAGTTTCACAGCAAAGCACGGGTATCCAGCTAGTATATAATAAATAAAAGGCTGGCATTTGAGTTCGGCCATGCTTCCTAGGAACACCCATAATCCTTTTTTTACATGCTCTAATCCAGCGTTTCGCAACCTGGGCCATGTTAAGCCCTGTGGACTTCAACTCTCAGAGTTCCTCAACTCCCAGCATAGAATTTATTTATTTATTTATTTATTTGATTTGCCAATTGTTTACAAGATAATAAGTATAAGTGTATACATAGTTGTGAATACATGAAATGGGTACATATAAGAAAAATAAAAGAAGAATAAGAGAAACAATAGGACAGGGACGGTAGGCACGTTGGTGCGCTTATGCACGCCCCCTACAGACCTCTTAGGAAAGGGGTGAGGTCAATAGTAGACAGTCTAAGGTTAAAGTTTTTGGGGTTTGGGGAAGAAACTACAGAGTCGGGTAGAGTATTCCAGACATTGACCACTCTATTGACGTTCACATGTCTTCAAAGCTGACAAGATTGAAAAACACGGTTTTTCTACTTGCATTTTTTTTAATGTGCTTTCGAACTGCTAGGTTGGCAGAAGCTGGAACAAGTCCTGGGAGCTCAGCGATGCTGGGGATTCGAACCGCCGAGCTTCCCTGATCGACAAGCTCAGCATCTTAGCCACCCCTTCGACCTCTGCCACTCCACGACTGCAGAAAAACGTCCCTTGTAGGGTATATAGGAGGGAGAAATCCTTGTAAAACTCACTGATCTGATCCAGGGAGACCAGAAAGAAATCGCTGGCTGTCCCCAGCGGATTGACAGCTGTCACGTTGAGCACGTAAGGATCGGTGGAGAACATCTGCAAGAGGGTCATACTGCAGCTGTGGCTCCCTGCAACGGGGGGTTTGCACTGGTGGACGTCTCCCCTTAAGCCGTGCCTGCGTCCACAAGGAAAATCTGGGTTCAGACATGCACTGCATAGGGCGGCAGGTTAAGGGTTGTGTGAACGGGGGTCTCGGTGACTGCAACCACGGCGGGGGAGAAGTCAGTGTGGATTGAATCCAGTTCGTGGGGGTGGGGGGGGGGCTGGGGGATAAAACATACCAAGGATGCTCGCAGGAACTGGGTAGGTCTAGTCCAGGAGTCGGCAACCTTCAACACTCAAAGAAGCCATTCGGACCGGTTTCTCACAGAAGAGAAAACACCGGGAGCCACAAAACCTAGGTGGGCGTGGCCAAGATCATGTGTCTCTCCCACCCAGTCACATGACCCCACCATTGCCACGCCTACCCAGGTTTTGTGGCTCCCAGTGTTTTCTCACCCCTCATTGTCTCCCTCCCTCTTTCTCTCTCTGGCTCTCTTTCTTTTTCCCTCTCTCCTTCTCTCATTCTCTCCCTCCCTCCCTCCCTCCCTCT